TTTACTTTTGTCATTCTTTGGTCATTTGTGCCACCTCTATATGCAAATAAAAGAGAAGAGATTGGTTTGAAATCTTCCATATCCTTCATCTTCGCTAGTCCTACAATGATGACACTTCTTGGCCAACTCAATTGACTGCAATCGCTAGCCGTATTAGTTAAGGCGAGTGAAATGGCAAGCACGAATAAATTAATGAAAACGTCCAAATAATGAGCCGCAAGTAATGCGCTCGAAAGCCGGCTCGCTCTACTACGAATATCAAGGAACAGTCAAATACACAAGTTATATTCTAAAGAAAAGAGATGTCTACTGCTCAATAAAATATATCCACTGCTCCATAAAATAAAGAAGACTTCAAACGTGAAAGTTTCACACACAAAAAAAAGTTGAGACTTCCCAAAATCAACATCTAGATAAGGATTCGTTCTTGAAATAAACCGAATTATTACCTTGAGGAGGCTGCCATCCACTAGGAGTTGGATAAGACTCATGAGCAGGCAGTGGTGGAACTACCTCAAGAGGCATCAGGCGATCAATATATGACCAATCAATCTTAACCTCTTCTACCGAAGTGAGAGTGGAGGCTGGAAACAGTTGAATGAGTCAAAGAAAAAAAAGACATTAGAAGAAAATCGCTTAGCCCACTATTGGACGTGCTCAAGCTCTCTGCGAATGAATCTCAAAAGTGTTAAATTCAACAGAGCCCAAGTGACTTGTACCGTTTGATGGTCTAGATCCACCCCAAAGCCGAAACCTAGAAACTACGACCATGGACCAACAAAAAAAGTTCCCCATCATTATCACCAAGAGCTCGCTGCAGCACGAAGGGGGAAGGGAAATCACTGAAACCAAAAAGTTGATATGCTGTATTTGACTAAAGGTTACTATAAACGACGGATCAAAATTACAACTCTACCCGCATGCCAAAGACTTCACACTGATAGGGAAGCGAATGGTTTTCTGAACTAATGTTTTCTACATGAGCCATAACGGCATATACACTGTACTTGCTGTAGGAGACGTAGAAAAATTTCTACGTTCGTCTACGTCTAGAAGCACCATTGAGCACACAGTAGCGACTTACTTCTCTCTGGTAGTGCACGTTTCCATGGATTGAGCCACGGTTTTGCCTCGTCATCGCTAGGTTCAGCAGGGCTTGATAACGACCGCACAGCTCCTTTCCGTAAGCGTGACACGCTACGTAGCGAGGAACGTAGCATCTGCAAACAAACGTAGGTTTAGTGAAATCTAAAATTCGGAGAGCTGAACTCGAATTTATTCATCGGAAGGTTATTCATAGTAGCTCCTTAAGCATGCATGTATAAAGGCAAGATTGAGTTTCAACAGTCAAACAAGTTCTTTAACGTTGTAGCCACGCATTTAGTATCTGACGATCGAATGGGTAATTAAACCTAAAAATTTTCCATGGGGCAAGTCGATGTATTAGGTGCAATTTCGTCCTACCTAGGAGTACAATACCCACTAATCTTACATAAAGGGATAGATGGCTTGGAATATCTGGTATATCAATTGTAAAAGGGAAACACATGTGTACAATACGAGTTCGGATCTCGCAAAATACCCAGTGTCGCTTGTGCACTTGCGTACAGCGTCCAGCTACAGTACCTTGACGTCTACTGTTAATTTCTTTGGGCATATAACCTCTTCGTTTCAAGAGAGCTCCGAGGCGTGATCGTGAGGATAAAGTCTTTTTCCGGATCGATAGCAAAAATCCTGATTGTATCCAGAACAAACAGTTCCCATCTGACCTAAGGGAATTTTCATGAAGCTCCAAGGTCATCAGATAAAGCTAGTTACGATCCGAGGTTAGGGCGAGCTGGAGCGAAGAACTCCCTTCTCAGTACTGTTCAAATGACACTGTTCACGATGCTCCACTGCTGAAGTGAATACGGGTCGGTGTTGCCAATTATGGGGAGAGTCCCATTTCGAGACCATCAGCCAATTATTCACGTTCTGGCCAAGGAGGGCAGGAAAATTCGCGCTTGAATGGGACCAGTTTGTTAGTTGCAAACTTGTATCAGGACGTTTTCTTCGTTGGATAGAATGTCCGAAGTTTTCGCTTTTGAAGAAGTTTTCCTAAGAAAAACGTTGGCAGATTCAATCCTGCCCAGAAGAAGCATGAAGAAAAGAGGAAGCCATCGTAGAAATTAGCATCCCTTTTTAACCGTTATAACCTTTTTAGGTTACGCGAGTAGAACTCCAACGGCTGCTTTGAACGCGTTCACAGTACCTGAGTTTCATATATCCACGTATGGCTACTTTCAGAATTCGACGACCGTCCGTCCGTCCGTCCGTCCGTCCGTTCAGCGCGTGCTGCGACGGCGGTCGCTAGAGTGGTGTTGACAGCGCTGGCAAGTGATTCAGTGTGTCGACAACGGTCAGACGCCGCCGTCGCGGCACGCGCTGAACGGACGGACGGACGGACGGACGGATGAATCGTTGAGGTCTGAAAGCAGCCTATGAATACGCTCACTTGCCGGTAAAGAAACGTATATGATAAAAATTAGGCGTGTGGCTACTGCACGCGCATTTAGTCTTCCATTGCACAGATATCTGAATAAACATTCTATCAGAAGATACCAAATAATGAAGTTGGCTTGGCAGATACTAGTACAGATAATCAAAAGGTAGTTGAATTGGAGTATTGGACATCCGGTTCCCAGCATATGAGGAAACCGATAAGGAAAAGGAAAGCCCAAAAACAAAGTGAGTGAAGCCTAGGTTTTAGAATAGGTGCTTCGAACAAGGCAGTCTAAGGAACTTTGGAGCGATAAAGTGGACCTGATCGATCGTACGATACCACAAATACGAATCGCCAGCAGGCGCGTTTATAGTAGGCGCATCTTTACGCAGATTATTGCGGCTTGACGCAGATATATGTGCGGAAAAGCAAATAGGGGCGCTTTAGGCAAACTAATACGTTCTTTCTCATGTATCTACGTAAAAACGCATTTACCATGGATTAGCCCAGTACTCAGTGCAGACTGCACGCAAAGGGATAGTTGTTGTCGAGAAGTGAAAAAGTGCAAAACGTATTTCGCAATAACAACGTTGTTTTCGCCACGCCCATGGGCTTCCCCTTATTTCACGTCATAGAGTTCCATGCCTAGGCGTGACGGAGTTCCATGCCTAGTTTTTTCGCCTTTCTTATCATTCTTATGAAGTTACATGAATTTGAAGCGAATGGGAGACCTCGGGGATCAATACCATCGTTTTAACAATGAAATATCTACTGGCAAACAAAATTTGAGGTGGCTTCTATGGAGATAGTGCCGAATGGTGTTACTGTAGAACCAGTTCCCTTTACATTTTAGTGATTTATTAAGGATGAATTCTCGGGGCGTTAATCAATCTCGTTTGAAGTATGCGCCCACACATTCGACTTCCTCTCAGAATCTAGTGGTGTACTGAAAACTTTTGTGGCCCACAAGATGACTTTAGCGTGCCAGCTGATGTACAAACCAGTGCTTTTGTCCTCCCAGACAACCCTGTTATCAATTAACCGTCCCGGAGAGATGGAAGGCTTGGTTGACCACGGCAAATTTCGATTCGGGATTCGAACCCCTGACCGTGCTTGTGTAGATGCGTCACTTTCCACTACTCCACATCCACCCCAGCGATTTATTTAGTTACAAACAGGCCGTTGTACCAAATATTTGGAACACTTTCTGAATGTTGGCCTAGAGACGAAGCTGCTTTAAAAACCAATTCCTTTTGTTGTTGACCGTAGAAACTTTAAAACTTATCTAAGAAACTTTGTTCTCGGTTCTTTGGTTTCCAGTTACATCTCGCTTGTTAAATTTGCTCATTTTGTTCGCCTTGTTTTCAACTAGATTGAATTCTCATCTGGCTATTTAGTGTTTGTGGGAAGACAAACGTTACTTCATCGCAGGCACTAAAGACGGAGGTGACACTTTCGCACTTGATGGAGGACTGGTCGAAAACCCTGCGTATCATTACCACTAAGTTGGTGAACGAGGTAACTACGGTTAGACATTGCATAGTATTTCGCAAACTCTTCGCAACACTTCCACAGATGGCTTTGTTCCAGGCTGTTTACAGCTCCAAGAAAACCGTTTTTACGGATTCTCAGGAATTTAAAAAACTGAAGAAAGAGATCCGTGAGAATGAAAATGCTCTAGCTGAATATGTCGACTACCTTTTTACGTCTTTGAAGGTTTGCTTTTGTAGTTTCTTACATAATTTTAACCTGGCTATTACACGGATCGCTTCAGAGGATGTTACTCAATACTTCTGCCTCAGTTCGCGCTATTTAGGAGAGCACCCCTAGTGGTGGTACTGGGTAAGCGACCAAGTTCATAGCTATTTTCTAATTTGACCAAATTAAGTAAAAAGCTTGCTGAGCAGCACCTTTTCCTTAACGATTACGTAATGATAAAACTTTGGCAGAATGCCGTCTGTACTGAGTTGGCTGGGCTTTAGGGAGCAGTAACGACCACAGCTAATATCGCACCAGTTGGTCGACGGCAGTAGGAGATTGTCAAAAGGATTGCATACTCTTAGGCAGGATTAAAATCTTGTTCAAGAGTTTCTTTCTAATTTTGGCTTTGGCAGGGTCCAATACCAATATAGAGTCCGAAGGGGGTTTGGAGCATGAACGATTGGTTACCTTTACCCAGTTCCTCTTCCCTTCTGGGCAAGTGGCTTATAAATGAAGAGGAACTAAATATAAGGGGCCTTCTCTGCGACATATAATCTCGACAAACCAAGGGTTAGGTTGGTTTGCAAAAAAAGGAATGCTGAGTTGGGAAAAATACGAATTAGTCTATCCCAACAAAAATAAAGACTATCGTTTTATTTTCTTCTCTGTGATTCATGGAGTAAGTTGAATCGCCGCTCTCATGATAATCTGAAAAGGGCTAGTAGGTGTCTAACTGTTAAGAAGTGATCCTCTTATCACTGGTGAGCATCAAGAATGTTTTTCTACAAATGCTATTGGAAATCTCACATCCCAGATCTAATTCTTTTCAGTGTCCTGATTCGGAACAAAGACAAGCCTTGCTGTCAATATTCGATTACTTTTTCAACCGTTCTCATAAGTTTCGCTTGAGAATCGTGGAGAAGTTGCAGGTTTGTCATCGGAACCCCAAATCTTGTGCCCATGATTATGTTGGCTTCTTTTCAGGAGTTACTTCTGCTGGTATGTGAAACGGATCCATTCAACTATCCTCTCCCTGGACCAAGTAAAGAGCGCAAAGAATTGAAGGTTTGGTAGAGCCCTTCTTCGATAGAGTAAAGTAGACTTATTCAACACACCCCTTTTTCAGGCTTATGCTCTGAAAACGGTCAAACAGTGGCATGAGAAATTTGGTCCCGGTTACGAAAAACTGAATTTTGTTAGCGATTTCTTGCGAAAATCCAAGGTAACATAATGCCGCATCGTTATTGTCGGTATAGTATGCCACAACGTAGTTCGCCTTAATTACCTTAGGCTGTTGATTTCGATGCTGCATCTGAGGAACTATTGGCTGAAAGGAGAAGGAAGGAAGCTGAAAATCGAAGAATCGCAGAGTTATCGCAGAAGGTACTTTTTTCGCTCCACTTGTTTTGAGAGAAGAAGTCAAGGGCAAGTCAATATTTTCACCATTTAGTTTTTACACAGCAGTACTCCTCCTCAAAACTCAACCCTAAATCAAAAGATACTTAGTAGATACTAGCTGTGTGATCGAAATGAGTCGAGGGGGGTGGGGGACGCTAAGTAATTCGCTACAACAAGTTAGATCCAAAACTCAATCCCGGGCGATACCCAGTCAGGCCAACTGAGCCTACCGTTCCGCCTTTCCCAGGTTTACACTTCTTCCGAACACGTTGCAACTTTAAGTTGAAAACTTTCTGTATACGTGCCATTTAGATTGCATCCATTGTCCGCAGAAAACTCGACGAAGTCAAAGGTGACATAGAAAGATGCATTGCCTCGGCTGACACCGCCCTCTCTATCCTTGTTCCTCTATTTTGTATCGATTCTGAGCAAAACGAAGCCAAGAACCGTGGTACCGCCTCATGCCGAAACAACGATCAAGATATGAAGGTAATGGCAAGCGATATTACGTTGTAGCTTCGGTATTTTGGTTAGATGTTGACGATGTTTATTTTCCTGTTTTCTGCAGCTTAAAATTGGTCTTTCGAGCTGATTCTCAGCAAAAGGAAACGGAGCAATACGCAATTTTTTGCGTTCGTGTTGAATTTCTTCAACCTGAAGTCGGGCAGATGCTTAACCATTTCTTACCCGAGTGTGAGAACGTTTGCTCAACACATTCACCTCTACAATTGTTTTTCAGACTGTTCACGGGTACACGAATTCTGACACAATTCCTATTGTTTTGGAATCGCTTACACCAGAGGTAACAATCAATGAGGACAATGAGGCGGTAATAGAAAACCTACGGGATGTAAAAGTAATGCTGGAACTTTACCGGAATAAGATTCTCAGGTACACTTGTATTCTTCCATTAACAAGCATCTCCTATTCGCTACCTTAATTTAGTTGGCAGCGCAAATTAAATGGAGCCGTTGGCGTAGAACTTCTAATGCGAGATCTGACCGCAATCAAGAGAAAGATTGATCAGCGTTGTGGAAAGATTGCTGAGTTGAACCTTAAGCCAAAGAGGCGAAAACGGAAGAGCGCTCATTCTAGTGAAAGTGAGGAAAGCGATCTCGAAGATGTTCTTGAAAAGCAGTGTAAGGATAAATATACTTGCTGCAGTAGTGGAAGTTCCTGATCTCAACCTCTTTTTCAGTGGAGGAATTTAAACCACCCGATGATGTTCGGCGACACAACATGGAGCGAGTCAAGCAAGAAGTGGAAGATGGGGAATGTTTCGAGCAGGCATGCTGCAGTAAATCACTAGTGACAACTCCATCATTGACGACTCCGAAAGAGGTATGGACGGTTTATAAGAATTTCCTGAACGTTCTTGATGCCGTCTTATCATACGGAACCAGACGTTTGAGTTGAACACGTCTGGCGCGATCAAATTTTTTGAATGTAAAAAGCATGTCATGAAGCCCATACAGGAGCTTGAGGATGAGGTCAAGCCAAAGCCAAATATTCCCCTTCCTTCGTGCGAAGGTGTGGGAGAATCGAAACCAACGAAGAGGCGTTGCAATGCAAGACTGCCAAATGGGAAGCTTTGCCCGAGAATGGGCTTGCGAAAGTGAGTGGTTCTCAATTGCTTTAGTAAGATAACTTCTCTGAAACATTTATTGCCTCCAGGTGCCCACTTCACGGCAAAATAGTGGATAGAGATGACGAAGGTTTCCCTTTGGAACAATTGGAAACAACCGAAAAGTCCACTTCGCAGGTTAAACGTGAACATCAGGAAGAGGAAGAGTATTTGAGGTTTGCGCTGATTTCGTCTTTTTTTGGGAATAGATTCTCCACTCATTCCTCGAGTGTCTTACAATTGAACCCAGTTAAAACGAGCAGTGCTTGTACATCAAAGTGTATAACATAGCTTTATTCAACGGATTCGTGCAAAAGGAGGAGTTTTTCCTTTCAGAGATCTCGAAGTCGCAACTGGAAAATCGTTTGTCGGTAAATTCAGAAAGAAGAAAAGGCGAGAAAGTTCCGTACGTGAACGATTAGAAGTAAGTTTTCAGCACTACGTCATCTTCGTCACCCTTAAAACATTTCATGCGACTGCGATGCTTTTCAGAAAAAAATTCTGGACCCTCGGGCAGTCAAACGTGTCTTGGCCTCTCTTGATGCTGCCTGCAGAGCTCGACAAGAGTGGAGGTTCGGGGACCAGTTTGTTCATTCCATCACCATGTGATAGTCTCGTAATTGAAATGAGTAAATTTTTTTGCCGTCTGTTGTGTCTGTTTTTGAAATCCCTCTCACGATATGTGTCGGAGGGTGTTGTAATATTTTACTTACTTATTTATTTATACACTCATCTGAGTGCGCCAATAGAGCGGATTGAGGACAGGTGTACAACTGCAGGAGAGTCGAACCAAGACAAAGATAAAACGAGCTGAGCTGAGCCAGCAGTGACAACCCGCTGAATACCAGTATCCGTTCTAGGGTAGAGGTGGAAAAGAACTTATCTACGAAGACTGGGCCACACACGCTACAATGGCTGAACTGACAGCCTTGAAGAGAAGAATCCAGATAGCCAGTACCCGTACTTGTTGGCCAAGGTCTCCATCCGAGAAGCTGTCACTGGACGAAGTCGGAACTTCGGCACACGGGTATGCCAACCTCCCTCGTGGAACCGACATCTCGGATACAGGCAAAAGACAGTACATGAACAAAAGGCTGGGCGCAGACTCAGCATGGAGCAGTGAGCGGAGGGAAAGGGTAAACATGACTAAGCAAATATGCATAAACTAGTGATGGCAAAGAGTTGATGAGCAAGGAAATGGTCTGAAGCTTCACTGTCGCCTAAACCTACAGCCTGAAGAAACGCCGGCCGACTTTTTTTGGCAAGTTGCCCACTGTT